AAAAAGGAAGCGAGAGCTCCAGGGAGCCTGGCCGCGCCGCCGCCGGCAGTCCGGGGTCGTTGGAGGTGTCCGCCCTCCCCGGCTGCCGTTTTCTATAGGGGGCACTGCAGGTCGTGGAATCTCCAGTGGAAAAGTTCCCCGAAAACTTTGACACCTCCCACCCCACGAGCCCCCAGGAAAAACTCTGTTCCCTGCCTGCTCCTTGGCCCTGCACCTTGCGCACCCCGGCTTGCCGCCCCGGGCCAGGTCGGCGGGGTTCGGGCGGTGGCTCCGCGGGGCCGGGTCGAGCAGGGGCCCAGAAACAGGCGGCCGCCCCGCCTCGGAAGCCCGGGTCCGGCCCGGAGCCCCTCGGGAGGCCCGAGCCCCAGGGCCTGGCCCAGTGCGCGGCTTGAACGGGTCGGGGGCGCAGAGCCGTGCGGGCCCCGGGCCTGTGCAGGGCCGGCTTCCCCTCTCCGGGCTTCGCCGTGGGGTTCCAACAAAGGACCGCGGCCCCAGAAGCGGCTCCCACGCGTCCTTTGTTTCTGCGTGGAACAAACTTTACACACGTGTGTTCCGAGTGTTTCCCGGGTGCTGAGCACCTGCAAAGCGGAGTGGCGCCCTCCCGGGGAGACGCGGCTCGCCCAGAGACTGCGGCACCCGTGGGGCGTGGGCGGGACCCCCAGGCGACCTGGGAAACGCTGGCCACCCCCCCTCCATGTGCTTTTTCTCGCACGGAGAATGTTCCCCCGCGTTCATTGTGCAACTAAAAATGAATGTGAAATATGTCCATTGAGGCAAGTAAAACGCAAACAACGAAACCCACAGAAAATCGAGAGAGCCGCGACCAGGGGCTGGGGGGTTCACTGCGAGGACCGGCTTCGGCTTCCGCGCTGCGCGGAGGGAGGGCGCTCGCCCGGGGTCGCTTCGCGGCGGTGGAAGATTCGGGCGACAGGGGGCCCGGCCGCGCGGGCTCGCAGACAGCGGCAGCCTCCCGGGCGGGGCTGGGGCCTGCAGGGGCGCGCAGACTGCCCCTCCGAAGACACAGGCCTGGGGAGGGAAATTCTGGGAGCCCATGTGCTCTGCGCAGCGCCCCGGGAAATATTTGCCCAAAAGGACGAGTTGTGTCCTCGCACCGTAGCAGATCCCCCCCCAGCGAGCTCTGACCCCAGTCGCACGGCCAAGCCCCCTGTCACCCTCCCCTCCCCGCCACCCCCGCCCCCGCTTCAGGGGACGGGTATTTGTAAATAACAGCTGAGCTGGTCTTCCGGAGGAGAATCAGATTAGAAACATGGTCTCCACGCTGTTCTATCTCCTCAGCTCTCATCACCTCGCAAAGCAGGGGGACTTGTTTACCTTTCCTGCCGCTGTCCCCCAGGCTAGAACCTGATCTTCTTCCTACGCAGGGACCGTGTTTTATTCATCTTTGTACCCACTGCCATCTCATCTGGCTGGGAACAGGCTCAGGATAAACATTTTTTAAATATGTACTTGAATGAATGAGAGACCCGAGATTGAATCCCCAACCTGTCTGACCTCCCTCTAGTGACTTTAAGCCTTTAGAGCCCTTATCTGTTAAGAAAGAAAAAAAATGTGAGTTTTTCATAATCCTGGTAATCCGTGCCCTCTCTACCTCTCTGGGGTTATTGTGAAGATCAAATAAGATAAGTGAAAACGCTTGGTAAACTACCAGGTGCTGAACAAATGTTATATAGGATGGTTATTCATTCATTCCCTCCGTTCAGGAAGCTTAACAGAGTAATTCCTGGTCTTGTGTTTCGGCAGATGGTGGTCGCCTTTCCTGGTCAGTCTTAAATATTTATTACAGGACAATCTCATTCTTACATTTAGGAAATCAATCAAGCTTCCATCTCTTTGAGCGAAATGAACACTGCTTGCACACATAAATAATGGAAGAAAAATCCTCGTATTCCCAAAACAGCCACCCCAGGCAACCCAAGAGTCCAACAGCAGGGAGGTCATGAAAATCCAAGAAACTAGCATAGTAGCCCAAAGGTAGCACCGTGCAGCGATAACTAGGCTGTGTCTAGGTATGGGCTTGTGTGCCTGAAATACTGTTAGTGAAGAGGAAGCTCAGACAGGACATGCACCCCTGGCCGCTGCCATGTCCGTGTTCTCCCTGACCTACGCTGGAAGGGAGCTGGGAAGGATGGAAATCATTACATTTGAATGTTCGTTGGCTGTTTTATTTTCCTGTCAAGTGGCTTAAGCTTGATTTTCTTTTCTTTTCTTTTCTTTTTTTTTTTTTTTT